GTCTGAGAGCTTACGAACATCAACTGAAAAGGCTGTTGTCAAATAGATGAGAAGACTCGGTATCAATGAAATAGAAAGACAAGCAAGGAAAGTTAAAAGATAGGCGTGAACGTATCCAAATAATATCGTGGTGTCCTATTCATTACTTTATGCAAAGCCTTTCTTTCGATCTTGTGGTGCATATGAGCATTTGTGAATATCCTGTGTAAATATACAGTATAAGATTACCACATTCTCTTACATATATTACGCGCAACGTATTTTTGAACCGAAGTGCATATTTATCGATTATTCGGTCCATTTTTATCATTCATTTGGGCCAAGGTACGCGCTTGTATGTAAGTTCTATGTTCCCGTAAGGAGTCGCGGCATGCATCGAAAAAATTGTAGATAAAAAATGTAATCAATTATCACGCAAAAGCATACACCGCAAGATGCGAAAATAAAAATGCACCGAACAACCGTGAAAAGAAGGCATGTACTGATGAGTACAAACCATTGACTATACAGATGGTGACGACCACATGCAAGTTGATCGACGCCGGTAACACATTTGTAAAATCTTGTTGTAGGTATGGAAAATAGCATTTTGGCAATTTGGAAGGTGTTTATCCAGTATTTCGTCTTTATTGATCACAACTTTACCGCTGACAGCTATTGACACGCCGGTGTTTCTGCCACGGGATACGTCTGCTCAAAGATGCCAGCAAAATGCGGTAATGTCGTCGTAGATGGAACGGCTTTGTTCAGAATGTGGAGCACAATGATGGATCAGTAATTCGATCTCATGTCCGAAGTGGACCAAGAGGACCAAGCTGGAACGCTTACGGGTATCTTGTCCTCCACTACAGATGACGATAATGCGTCACTCTTCGCACCGTTCAATCTGCAATCTCTAGATCAACACGACATCGCTACCACCATAAACAGCTTCTCTTTCCTTGCGACCGCAATCTTCCATCAGCATTGCATGTTTTGCAATTGCGCAATCTTGCTTATGTGCCCGCTAGCTTCCGTGTCATTGATCATCAACAATAGCATCACAAGCTTTCATCAGCTCTCTACAATCGTTTAAGTTGATGTTGCTCGTCGATACTTCATATCATGCTGACTCTGGTCGTACCTTAAACATCCAACATAGCATTGTGTACGCGCCAATCAGACGCGACGCTGTTTCATCTCATCGATGCTAAACAATTCGGCCGGGACGACAGCTACACCATGACAAGGACGACCCACAAAAGCTGGACAAAAGCACCAGAAGCAGCTTGGTCTTATTCGCAAACAATAAACAACACTGTCTAGACACGTTGTGGCGTCGGGCACATTTTCTAGCGAATGTATTTGAATGACCGCAGGCATGTATACATTCCGTCGTAGAGTTTGCATCAGTGGTGCATCTATTGATCCTCTTTTCGTGAGATGCATTTTCTTCGATTCTCATTTTGTGGTGCACCTTTTTTACATATGTATAAAAAATGCCGAGGATAGGACGAGGCTGTATACAAAAGCGAGCGAATCGATCGAAATCAAGCCGAAAAGCAAGGCAAAAGAAAAGCTAAATAGCAGGAACCTAAACAAGTGAGAAGCTATCCACTTCGGGCAAAGTAAGTAAGAGTCATAAGTCAACCTGGTGAGGGAAAATGATTTCTGCCAATCACAGACGGGTGCGAATTAAGCTTTGCGGTTTGACACGAGCAAGCACATTTTCATCATATTGATGTACATTGTCTAATTAAGTTTAAAATATGTGCCGCTCAGAGCGGAGCTTCTCTTCACTCGTGCGTGGTATGCGTATAGAAAGGGCACTTGATTCACTAAAGACTAACCCCCTCATATGTGCCACGTGCTCTCTACTGCATTCATTTTATACCGTTTCAGCGCCGATCTGCCATCATCCAAGAGCTTTTCACTGATCGCAAGATGAAGAATTCCGACTGGGAGATGCAACACGTCGATACACTGGACGAAAGCACCCGATACGATGAGATTCGAGCTTTAACGGATCAGTTGTGTCGGTCGAAGCGGCGATGCGCCAAGTTAGGGCGGCAATTGCAGGAAAAAGAACTGCAGATACAGTCGATGCAAGAGCAACAACAGCTACACTTTCCGCTCCTGATGCACGAGACATTTCGTAATTTGCAATCATTAGAGGGTGGCCTGTCTGAAGAACGACAAACAGCAAGTGATGGGGTGGGGTCATCGATGCTGAGCGACGGCCGGGTGAATGTGGTGGGATTTCCTGATATCTTTTGCGTGGCCTTTTCTGTGTAGCCACTTTCGCATTCTGTAATGAGCTTCATGGCTCATGACAGAGAAGACGTTGATGTTTGTATGCATGAGTACGAGCAACAGGTGTGTTTGTCAGTGTGAATATGATGTCTAGATGAGAGGTGACTGAAGACTGTGATTGTTTCAACATATCTGTCATGCAAAAGATTGCTGAGCTTTACGAGGAGAATCGGAGCGAAAGATTGAAGAACGAGATGCTACGCGAATGTCTTCGTGATCAGAAACACGCCAAAACAAAATGGATGAAGGTGTGCAAACAATCAAAACAGAAACTTCAAGCAATCGAAGATAGCGGAATAAGCCAAATGCTGATGGACATCGAGGCGAGATGCGATGCGTTAGACAAGAAGAACGCTCAGACGGTAGACGAGCTCTTGGTGGAAAGGTCTTTGGTACGATCAGTACTCATGATGGAAAATAGGATCGATGTCTGTGAAGTCTGATATGCTGTTGACTGCAAATCGGCTAGCGCGAAAATTGCGAAGCACAAACAATCACCCTTACGAATCAATTGGAAGAGTTACGGTGCCAGTCTGCAAAGTGGGAAGGTAAGTGGACACCTACCTGTGCTTTCGTATACAATTCACTCAAATGATGGTGCAGGCATTGTCGCCAGTAAAAACGAAACATTACAGCAAGCACGGAACCAGATATGCGAGCACCAATTGAAGATCGAGAATTTGATAGCTGACCTGAAGCTCGCAGATCGTTGTACTGCACATTCGCCCGACCACTACCTCGATGACGATGCCGCAGAGGTAAATTGTTCATGTTCTTTGATTCACAAGCTCGATGCTGTTTTATGCGCTTTGTGCGTATCGCCAATGGAATGCTCAACCTGCCTTGCCTTTCTTTCTTAGGTAAAGCGACTGAAGCACAGTATAAGTACGGAGCGGGCAGCTTTGAACGAAACAAAGCAACAGATCAGCGGGATCGCAGCAGAGAACGAAACGTTGCGAGGACGACGCGCTACCGTTGACGAAATCGGTTGCCCTGTAGAGCACATAGACCCATGCGCAGCTAAGGATGTGTTTGATCGCGTGCTGATTCAGGTGGGATCGATACGGCACCCTCTCATCACACTGTGTGCTGACTCGGATATGGCGTTTGTTTTCTTTGTCAACTGAGAGCAGACATATGACCTGAAATGTCAGCTGCGTTCGTTGAAAATCCTGTTGAAGCGGTACGACGAAACGAGCTTCATCGATGTCAACGCACTCGATGAAGACAATTGGTGTCAAAGAGATTATGTTCAGGACAGCACACGGTCATGTGTGGACTATGCAACACAACTGTCCGAGTATGTAGTCGAGTCAGCTCACTATCTCTTTGAAATCCGCGAGATCGTCGAAGATGTTGCTGCTCGCCTGATAGGAGAATCCTGTGCTTTGCAATAAGCGAATAATGCAGCCAGGTATCAAGTACTGTATCCGGAAGCGTTTGTGTGCTGCGATTCCGTTTACATGTGCTTGCACTCAGCCATATGCTCAGCGACCAGGACCGCTTTAGTCTAGTACAAAGTAACTGCAACATTGGAAGGGGCGAGCATATTTTCGCAGAAACACTCTTTTTGCGCTGCTTCGCTTTTGTCGCGTTCACTAGTGTCATTATATTTTCACAGCGGTCCTCAAGTACTCACACAGTTGCTACAGACTATAGCATGCTTCATAAAGAATGGCTGCGTTCGGAGAAGCCCGTCATTTGATATTTTGTTGACACGCATGAAGAATTGCCAAGGTCCCGTCAGTTGCTTTCTTCTAAATCGACACTTATCACCAAGAGGCGCCACACGGCGAGGCAACGCCGCATGCAAAGTCCAATTCTTGTACTGCTGCTGACTCTATAGTGTGAAAATCGGCGCAGCAATTTCGTGCGACCCGCGCATGTTGTGCCATATGGCGATACGCGCGATATGCAAGGAAGAACATGTATTTTGCTGAGCACGGAAGAAATAATGAGATTCGAAACGGTAACGGATTTTGCTGCGATGCGCGTGATTCCTCCATCGAATCACGGCTGATGTAAAAATCGATACACTGGTTTGCATGACCAACCAGCGCGTTCGCCGTCGACACCTTGATGGTAGAAAAGCAGCATAGCTGTGGTGAAGAACGGCAATCAGATCATAGTTTCTTTTCGAAAATGAACTGACATGACACAACGGCTGTCGTGACAACTGCCTCACGACCACCAACACGTTGTGCCGTTTACGGTCAAAATGTATGCATCTGCAAACCCGGTTTGTGGACGAATCTAACTGACGCGAGGAGGTGCTACTCGAGGCTATCATCCCCTAATTGCCGCTATGATGCGATACTCGAGAAAAGAGCACATACCCCTTTCCACGAGTTCGCGTTTGCCAATATTCCTGCGTAGCGAAGCGCCACCAGTTGCACAATTACAATAATTCGCACGACCGAAACGAATTATCTAAAAAGCAGCGCCAGATTTCTGTACCACAACGACACCCACTTCAACACCCCCATGAGATGTCGAATCGTCAAGTGTGCACAAAGCCGTAAGAAGTAGTCAACAAAACAACTTTTCTCGCTGCTTTCATCCACACATGAACAACATCCACCACTTGTCCCGTTTTGCGTCAACGCCCTTGTCCCACGAGCCTTTTTCCCTCGTCGACAAGTGCATCAACCCGCCTGTGCTCGCCTCGTTTGTTTTATTCCGCGACTTTCCGTGTTTTAAACACCACCATGCACCACCACCTCTCGGCCGTCGCCGTCACGGCCGCACTCGTCGCGCTCTACCACAACTTTGTCGCCCCGCACGTCGCGCGCCCGTCGCTGAAACTCACGTACTTTGATGCCCCCGGACGCGCCGAACTCTCGCGTCTCGTGCTGTCCGCAGGGAACGTCTCGTTCGAAGACGAGCGCCTGAGCCGCGACGCCTTTCGGGCCATCAAGTCCTCGCTGCCCCTCGGCCAAGTGCCCGTGCTCGAAATCGACGGCACGACGTACAGCCAGAGCATGGCGATCGCCCGGTACGCGGCCAAACTCAGTGGGCTGTACCCCCGCGAGCCGCTCGCGGCGCTGCGGGTCGATATGGTGTCCGAGTCGCTCGTCGACGTGCGGTCGCTGCTGGCGGAGATCGCCTACAAGACGCCGGACGAGGCGCTCAAGGCCGAGAAGACCGCCACGTTGCTGCAGGAGCTCGTGCCCAAGACGCTGACGCTGCTGGAGCGACTCGTGCAGCGGCCGTTCGTGCTGGGCCACGAGCTGACGTACGCCGACGTGCAGCTCTTTGATCTCGTGCACAACGGACTGCACCAGTACCCGACGTTTTCACTGGCAGCGTACCCCCACTTGACGACGCTCGTGGCCAACGTCGAGGCGAATGCCAATGTGGCGGCGTACTTGGCCAAGCACAAAGGCGCGTGAAAGCGGAGAGCTCATGGGCCTACTGGGATAGTGAAGGAGAGTGGAGCTGCCGCAATGGGTCGACACGGCAGCTGCGCTGACACGGGCAGGCGGGTGTCAATCAATGGACACGACTTTTGACCATGGGATTGCAGCACTAGTATCGTTGTCCTTCACAGAGTCGACCACTGCACCGCGTGCGTCGACAGTTGCCAGTATATTGCCCGCAGTACCGCTTGAATAGGTGCGTAGCTTGGAGCTCGACCACGCGGTCTACGGTTCCAGCACAGCCGCCACGTTGTCCACTCTCTTATGTAGTGCGCGCACAGGATGTGCCACGTTTGCGAGCGAGTTGGTGCCCAGTCGACGCCGTGCAAATGTGTTCGAGCCCATTTCGTTGTACTCGTGCCGGTAGGACCGCGGGGCAGAAAGAGAGTCTATGTGAGCCAACAGTGCCTCAACCGTTTTGTTAGCTCAAGCAGTTGGTGGCTGGTAAATGGGGCGTTGAGTCAGTGGTGCACTTGTCGAGAGCCTAATGGTCGGACGGAAGCTATCAAAGGGCTTTCATTCGGTTATTCGGAATAGCCATTTGGATGCATAGGTCGTTCAAGTAGTGCGTCCACTATTGGCTGGAGAAGATACTTTATATGTCAAGAGCAGTGTGTTGGCTGTACGGCGAGTGGGCAGGACGAAAATGGTGTCGTTGACACCTCTGAGGACAATTGTTGTAGTGCGAACAGCGAGTGGAAAACCTTTGCTCCTGTAGTCGCTAGTACGCTATCGTCGATAACAAGCACAAGTTCTGCAGCCCACCACTCCACTGTCACGAATCCGAATTGCCCGCGTTGGTTCCAGCCATCCGAGAATGTGACAGAAAGTCATTATTGCACGCGTAGAACGGATCGCCAGGCCCACGCACTGTGCATACGTGGAGTGCGCGTGGCTCATGATACATGACCACTGGACATTCCGTCGTTGTCGACTACCCGATGATTGTGGTGATGCACGCGCCCGCCAACCACAAGTCGTCTTTCCATCGCATGCCTTTGCCAAACACAACTGTCCGATTTAGCCAAAGCCCGCGCTCCTGAAGTGCGCACAAAGCTTTCACTAGCGTTCAGATTATGCAGCACTGGAGCGTTGTGAAAGGCGACGCCACTTTGTTCTGCTTTTCTGTACGCGCTCCGCTGGAGCGAACGACTAACGAATACAAAGTTGCCATCTTCGAAGCATCAACAAGGGCAGATGTCATGGCATTTTTTCCTTTGCGGCGGCATTCAAGACAATGGGGAGACGGACAGCTTGCGCAGGTGGCGATGTTTGCTCAACGTACGGCGTAACGGCTCAATCGTGTTCCACGAAACACTCTGCTGGTTGTCGATCCGACATCTGGGAGTGAAGAAACAGATTCGGCTGACGACCGATCGTCGAGCGTTGAAGTCCAAAGGCAAACGCGTGGTCCAACTTTGACGACCACATGACGCGCAAACCGGAGCAATGCGTCGTTGAGGTGACCCAGAGCCTGACACAAACTCTGCCGTGGGTCAAACGTACAATGGCCTCGCGCTGTACGCCATTCTCGTGAAAGGGCCATTCGCACTGTCTAGTCTGTCCACAACTGACTTCGCCTAAGAAAGAGCGTACCATACTGATTCATGCTTTGCAGCTGACTCGCCCCTTCCTTTACGTGGTTCTCCAGCCCTCCTTTCGACGTTGCTATTCCTGCTCTGTGTGAACGTACCAGCTGCAGCTTCAGTCGTTGTTGCTGCTCTCATGAGTGAGTCGCGCGAATCAGCCACAACTCTACTAACAATTATCTCGTCAAGTCTTCTCGACTTGCCTTGCCTGGAACTCAATCGGTCGTATACGCTACGCATCAAGAGGTGGCGAGTAATAGGTCAGTGGATTGCGTGCCCCACGTGATAGCAGAAACTTAGTCCTAGGCTTGTAAGCCATGCGATGACGACTTGATGTGGTCGTCATCGACCTTCCAGTCTGATACTGCCACGAGCTGGAATGGGGTACGCGATGACGCGACACAACGGGAGCGACCTCGTACTTCGCGATGGACACGCGAGCTTGTGGTAGACTTGGTCAAGTAAGTAATGCGATCGACTGAGCTCAGGAATCGATCTTACTGACCTCATTGATCTCAGTCTTTGCTGCAGTCGTCAATCGCCGTGTTGCAGTCACAAAGCACACGTTGTGGGCAAACATTCCCTCAAGTCCTTTGCGAGCCTTGTCCTCAACGGGCCTGCTATACCAGCGGGAGACCCAGAAACGCCTTCGTCACCCTCAGCTGCTGGTCGTGTCATGTGTCAAACGATCCTCTGACGCTCGCACGGGGCTACTGAAGTAGCTGTCCAACACTCTCTCTGGCGTTGGCATCATCAGAAAAAACGGTGAACTTCCTTTGCATCGCTTCGGACCGCAAGTGACAAACCACCATCGCCACCGCCACGAGCATAGCAAGTAGAAACGGAAGGGGTCGCCTGTGTTGAGCTTTGATGCAGATCGCCAACCATTCCACTGAGCTTCAAGCCTGCAAGAGCCGAGATCGTGTCTGGTTGCAAGTAATGTCGGTTGGCTCAGCCAAGTCCTTCCAACCTGATCGACGGTCTTTATTGGAGCACGGTAGAGTCCCTCACGATTTGTCAGCTCGTCTTTACTCGACAGCGTGAGATATCGGCTGTCCATAGCTCCCATCTGTGGCAATCAGCATAAACATGAGTGACCTGGCCGTCGTGCATGGTCTGTCCGATTGTAACGAAGCCACAGTATCTGGAAAGTAGCGACTGACATCACGGGACTGAAGCGTTTGTTTACGTTTCGCGCGTACCTATCCTTCATCTTGAACGACAGACCTGTTCTTCAGTCTTACGAGATGCAGCTCGTGAGCCAAAAACGAAAGTACGACTCGAACGCATGAGCACCTGACAATAAGTACTCAGGTCTCGAGTGTGTTTGAGATGGTGATGATGATGGGGATGGCGTGGACATGACTAGAATACGTACGAATGAAGCGCGTGCTACTGCAACCGTAAGCGCGTAAAGGATTGAGACGAACACGGCATATCGAACATCAACTTGTCTGTGTAAAATCTATCGCGCACAACTTGCACCTGGTGCTCATTCCTTCATTTCCACGTCCTGCTGTCCGACTGACTTTGCATCACCACTGTCGTCCTCGTCGCTGTCGCTTTCCTCGTCGAGTTCCAGCGGTCGGTCTGCAATCAGAATCTTCAGTTTGTCAATGCTTTCGACCACACTCTCAAGCTGATCGTCCAGGTAGAAGTCGTGTCGCAGCTCTTTCTTCATTTTTGTCAGCATCCGGCGGCACTTTTCAAAGAACTCGAGAGCGTTTGGCAAGTCGTCCATCGCACGATAGCACGTCGCCACGAGGAACCAGAGCTCGGCGTTCTCGTCGTCTTCCTGCATCACTCCTTCCAGCACGTCGCACGCCTGTTCATACCGCTCGACCTCAATCAGCATCTTACCCGTGGCCGTGCGGAACTCGAGCGACGGAAAACTCTCCTCGGTACAGTGCTCAGTCAGACGCCGATAGGTCTCCTCCAGTAGCTCCTCTGCAGCCTCTTTGTTCTGCTGCACCAGTCGCAAGTTGGCCAGTGCCTGCGTTGGCTCTGGCAGCCCCACGTCAAACGTCATGGCTTGCTGGAAGTACGACTCACAGCGACGTTCAGCCTCCTCGTGGTCGCACAAGTCCGTCATGTAGAGCTCACCCAGCGAGCAAAAGGCATCGCAGATCTGTTTCTTGACAATCAGCGCCTCGGGCGCGCTCGAGTCCACCTGTTGCTGCAGTTCCTGCTGCAAGCACGTGATTCCTTGCAGCGTATACTGCTCAGCCTCCTCGCCCGTGACGAGCTGCGACAGGTAAAAGTACTTGGCGGGGTTCGCTGCTGGAGCAAGCGCTGCACTCTGTCGAAAAGCCCAGAGCGCTCGCTCTGCATTGTCCAATTCCGTGCTCAGCTCTCCGATCGAGTCCAAGAGCGCCACGTTCGTTGGCTCCTGCACGAGTGCTTTCTCGTAGAACTGCACGGCCAGCTCGGGCTGACATTGGTCCACGAGTGCTTCCGCCTTGGCCACCAAGTCCGCCACGGAGAACTGCTTCCCCGACATGGCTACACCCGAATTTCCACAAGTGGCTACGAAAATGAATGGTGTGCACGTAACGAGCACGGACGGACAAAAACAGAGCCAGAGCTTTATATAACGGGTGAGCTTTATCTATCTCGCCTCGAAGCACTGTCCTTATCACGACGACGCTGTTGCTGCTGCTGCTGTTGGTGCTGCTGCTGTGCTTGTGGATGCACGTCGTGTTGTTGAAACGGTGGCGGATGCGGTCGAGGCGGTCGCGCGCGGTGTTTTCGACTCGAGTGGTGCTGGTCCTCGATCGAGTCTTCGTCGTACAAGACGATCGGTGTCGTGCCTGCTCGATGACGCCCTCGATCCGAAATGTCCTCCAGCGTCCCTAGATCCCGTCGCAGACTGCGGTCATAGTGGCCACTGCGGTCATAGTGGCTACTGCGATCCTGACGACCGTCAGTGCTTCGCATACTTCGGCCATAGTCCGAACGACCGCGTCCAGCACGTCGGTGCTCGTCACTTGCACTATGAGCAGCCTGGCCAAGCTCGTGCTGGTCGAGTCGAGTACTCTTTTTGTGTCCAACGCGTCCGCTATCGCCTCGTCCACTGTGGCCGTGATGGCCTCGCCCACTCGTCGGGTAAGCGTCAACCGTAAGTCGGTCGTGCATCGGAGTTGTTTTGTTGTCCGATAGAATCGCAGTGCCATTGAGCGACGACTGCAAGCGACTCATGTTGGGCGAGTACTGGTACTGGCCTTCGACCCAGAGGTCTGGAGTCATGTCCGTGTCCAACGCACTAGGAGGCGGAGCAGGTCGGTGCTGCCGCGAGCCCACAATAAACGCCTCGTCGGTGCTACTCTGGTCGTCGGATTGCGCGCGACGTCGAATTCTTCGGCCGTACACTGCCACGGCAATCACGGCCACAATCGCAACCACACCGAGCACGGAGCCAACGACGATCAGCACCGTCGAGTCCGATCCTGTGTCCACGACCACCTCGATGTTTTCACTACTGCCGGACCCTGTTGGTACCTCTTCGGCCACCTTCGGTACGCTCTTGTTGGCGGGAGACGTAGCATCCGATGTGTTTCGATCAATCGGGACAACGAGAATCTCCTCCTTCGACCCTGACCCGCCGTAGGAAATATGCACGGTAGCGTCCTTGGGCAAAATGTTCGACCAGTCCACGCCATTGTTCACCTTAACGTGCCCCACGCCCTTATTATCGACGAAACTCGTCGCGTTCGAGAGGAACGACATCTCGATCGACTCTAGCGGGTGGGGAGGCTTACCACTCGAACTGCTCGTGCTATTGGCAACTCCTTGTGCCTGACGTAGAGAGCGAGAGGCTCGAGCCTGTCGCGAAGTCGTCATGACGAGGGAGTCCTCGATATCGACGGACAAGGACACGAAAAGACTCGACGACCTGCCGCTTTCTGCGGGGCACCGCAGAAAGCTCTATGATCGTGCAGGGGGGATCAGCCACGCGCGTAGAGTCGGTTTGTGGCGTTGCCTCCGAAAGCGCAAGTCGCTGGCCAAAGAGGTACTGACGTCTGTGCAGGCGCTCCAGATGTCGGCAAGAGCGAGGACAGGGATCTGCCGTGTGGTGCAGAGCCCTAGCACGAGATCCCGACGTTGATGCTGCGTGGCGCCTCCTTTGATGGATTTATTCCAGCGCTGCGTCGTTTGCTTTGCCGATCAGCTTTTGCCTTGCAAGAGAAGCAGCGGCGGTGGTGTCCGGTCGTCAACAGGTGGTGCGCAGACGGATCAGAGTCCCATTGACAACCGATGCGACGTCGCTCCCGCGGCGAGCGAGTGCAGCGTCATATCGACTGTTCACCGAAAGCGCTGCGGCCGCGAGGAACAGTGTTCCGACAGAGGCCAAAGGCGACTCGACCTGCCATCGATGACGTGCGTGCAACGCAAAGGCCCTTGCGAGAGACAACTCGTCCCGATGCAACTTCGCTTCGCGTCGTCAGCTTCCGACATGTCCCTCTATCGAGTGAGTTGTATTCGCGACACTATGTGCAATCGTTCAGCAACCAGTCGAGTTGACCACCGAGTGAGCGAGTGCTTACTACAGCTATGAGCGTTTCGCCTGTCGGTCGTCGACGTGCGCTTGGACACAGCCGACAGTGGAATCGAACTCGCTGCCGCGCAGATGTCGATGAAAGCGCTCGACTGCGGCCGTTGCACGCCGTCAAGTTGTAAGCCGTCAAGTCTCACGTGAAGGCGATTTGCAGTCGAGCTCTGGTCGCGGGCTGAGCTGGTTGGTCGTCTGCCGCTTGTCCCACGTAGCCACTGGTGCATAACCCACGCGCGTACCCCCTCCGCCCGGTACAGCGCTCGCAGGAATTACACATACTCACACACACGGTCAGTGAATTTAGGCGCTCTAAATCAACGCACCCACCGTGTTTCGAGCCGATTTGTCTTACGCCACACGTACCCCGCCGCCACACCACCGCCACACCACAAACGATCTGCACCCATGCGCCGCACGACGCTCGGGACCGTGTCGTCCTCGCAGCTCAATGCGCGCTCGACGGCGCTACGGCACCCGTCCGTGCGCGTGTCGGTGCCCAGCAAGAGCAACACCGACATGGAGCGCCAGTCCATTGGCGTCGTGCCCCGACGTCGCGTCTCCACGGCTGCCGGCCGCGCCCCGCGTCGACCACCTCCGGGTCCGCGCGCGTCGGTTACTCCACGCCACTCGGTGACGGCATCCAGCGGCGGTACTGCTGCTGCTGCTACTTCACGACGCAGCAGCACCTACGGCTCTCGGACGTCTCTCTCGGGCCGCGGCGGCGCGCGCGTGCTGGACCCGCGACCAGTGGGCGACCGCGCGTACCTCAGCAGCTGCGTCCACACGCTCGTGGAGTTCCTCGAGGAGCACCAGTACGACCAGTCGATGATGCCGGGACTGACGAAGCGCGGGCCGTCGAAAAAGGAGTTTTGCAACGTCGTGCGGTTCCTGTTCAAGCAAGTGGACCCGACGTTTGAGTTTGGCGTCAAGTTTGAAGAGGACGTGGTGCTGCAGTTTCGCAACTTGCGGTACCCGTTTCCGATTAGCAAGACGTCGCTCGCTGCCGTGGGGACGCCGCACACGTGGCCGACGCTGTTGCTGTCGATCACGTGGCTGATTGAGCTGCTCACGGTGGGTAGATGCAGCTATGTTGCCTGTTTTTTGCTGCTACTGCTGCTACTGCTACGACTTGTGTTGCTGCTTGATATGTCATACTGGTGCATGAGCTTGTTGTTGCGGCTGATGCACACGCCCGTTTGTTCGTTTGTTTGTTTGTTTGTTTGTCTGTTGTCATTGCTGTTGTTGTTGCTGTTGTTGTTGTTGCTGCTGCTGCTGCTGCTGCTGGTAGTACGACGAGGCGATTCAGGAGGCGAACGAGATGGACGAAAGTGACGAGAATGACGATGAAAATGGCGACAAGTTGTTTTTCAAGTACTTGGAGGCAGCTTACCGTGTGTTTCTGACCGGCGAAGACGATAAGAGCACAGAGCTGGCGCAAAAGGAGATGGATCGATTGAGTACGGACTTGCATGCTTTTGTAGTGCTACTGGTAAGACAGCAAAGAATGGTACACTGACATGGCTGTTGCAGGCCAGCGAAACGACGCGATCGAGCAGGAAACAAGTGAACTGGAACTACAGCGCGAGGAGCTGAAAAAGCGTATCGAGCAGGCCAAAGCGGATAAGGTGTGCCCATAATGTCTACCAGTCGCTAAAGCTCGTTCGCTGCAAACATTTGCTCGATGTGCTGACGATATCATGTGACTAGAATGCGCTTTCGGAGCTGAGGAAAAAGAAAGCCGACTGTCTGAGTGACCTTATAAAGTTCAAGGACTTGGTGAATCAATTTGAGATGCTCAATAACAAACTGGACAAAAAGATGGAGGGGCTCGCTAAGGTTCAGCAGACGCTGGGTATGGCGCTGTGAACAACAAAAGAATCGTCGATACGTTTACTTACTTACTCCGTTTGTGCATAACAGAGGAAGAGCTTCGCGCCCGTCAACAAGAGATTCAGAGGCTGAAGAGCCGTATTGAGAACCAGGAACTGTCTGCACACGACATTGAGCAGATGGCTCAAGAGAGAGCGCGGCTGACCGACCAGCTCCATCACAATCTTGCTCTGCAGGATGAAATCCAGACACAGATCAAGAAGGACGAGAACCGTGCCGCTGACACCCGAGACCGAGTACGTTTTATTCTGGCGATTGTAGTAGTTGTACAGCATTGCTCTTCGGATGCACCTTGTGCCTGACGCTTGCATTTGTCGTGTACTGTGTGTTTCTTTTCCTTGTTTCCGGTGCCAGCTTGACAATCAGATACACGAATACATGAACACTTGCAAACGGCTGAAGATCGTTCCGTCAACGGCAAAGAATGCTCTGAACTTCGATTTTTATCTCGAGTTGGACCCGAAGTTGCAAGAACTCGAAGCATTTCAAAAGCTCTCGCAGCACCTGAAAACGAGCGTTCGACAAGCAGCACTCAGGGTGAAGCAGCATCGACATGCGCGCGCCAACGAGGGCCTAGACCTCGCAATAGTGCTGACCGAAGAGCTGGCGCAGAGCGAGAACAAGCTGAACATCGAAATGCAAAGTGAGAAGAGAATGGAAGCCGAAGTGAGAAAGATTGCAGACCAGATGGTGAGAGAGCGTGAGAAAAGGACCGAAAGTCTCAGTCGGAAGCAAGCTGCGACGGAAGAGGTTGAGATCAAGATCACGAACATCTCAAACGAAGACAATCTGGTCCAAGAGGAGGTCATTAGCTCGGAACAACATCTGCATGATGTGAAGAAAGCGTACGTGTCCGATCTGTGACATTGGTTGCCTTTGATCAGCTCGAGTGGACGGAGGCTAATTTCTGTCATGTCGTGCAGGTCGGTGGAAATGACAGAGAGTTACCAAACGTTGCTCGACAAGAATCGACACGCTGTCACGAACGTTCTCATGGCGTGCACGAACCACAAGGACATGGTCGATCGTGCCATTTTGTCGTTGGAAGCCGAACTAAGCAGGATTTGATAGCCTTGATGTAACCGTTCGCTACGCACGTATTCTGTTCAGTCTGGCATTACTACCACAGACATATGCATCATTGAAACATGCAAAGGCTGTTGGTACCAGTAATGTAATAGTAAGAGTAACACAGACCGTGATTTGTTTCATTAGTATGCGGCCTCGACACTTCTTTCCATTAGCAGTTTGCTCAGTAGCGTGTGGTACCCAACCAGTTTAAACCGACAATTTGCGAACTCGGTATGGTACCTTTGACGACGACAGCCAAGTCCTCTGGCGTTGCAATCACTCGGATCCTCTTCCATCACGCGCTACCCGTCGAGGGATGTCGTGCGCTGAACAAACTGGTCGAAACGTTCCTGCAGTTTCTGCCGCTGAGCCATGCGGCGCCGAACAAGACTCGAGCGATTCTGTTTCCAGAAGCGAATGTCGTCTTCCGGAATGCCCTGGTTTTCATCGTCCGTATCTACATCCAGCTCCGGCGAAGATGACGTAAACCGGTTCGACGCATCCCACCCCATGGACGACAGTAATTGCCACTCCATTTGCTCATCGTGCGCCAACGTTCCGCGTAGACACGGTTCATCACACGTCGGATCACACTGATGCGATCGAATCGGTTCCACGGACGTACTGGGACTGGTGAACCCGTCCTCGTCACCTTGACTGCTGGTGGAACTGCTAGATGACTGCGATGTCACAGTCTTGCGACTGTCGGATTGCCTGCGTAGTTTGGTCTGCTTCGGCTTTTGTTTCTCAATCGGTCGACTCTTCTCGATTTCTGACCGATCCGCTTGCTTCTGCTTCGATGCTGACTTACGCTTCTTCTTCTTTTCCTTTCGCTTTTCTTTCTTCTTCACCAGTCTCCGATACTCATCGTCTTCTTCTGCCAGCAACTGTTCCATCATCTCCTCACCATGCAAGGCCTCCACTGCCACATCGAAGTTTTGGCGCAGCGTAGCCACAGCGCAGTGCACCAGCAATTCTTCAGCACGCTTTTCTGATCGGGACTTGGTCCAGAGGCTTTGTGCCTTGTCCCAGACCACCATGCCCAGACATATGAGAACCTCGTCCTGTGCTTCAGCAATCGTACGCGCGTGACGATCGCCCCAGTCACCGACAACCTCCTGGTCCGCTCGCGACATCAGTTGTGACATGAAGTCAATATTACAAGGCACGATAATCTGGTTTGTCGCGCGTGAAAATGCGAGTTCGTCGAACAAGTACGACGTGTAATGCAAATCGTCACCGTAATCGCTATGTTCGTGATGTTTCTCCGCGCAGTCGAATCCCGCACAATCCTCGCAGTCGTCTTCGCTACAACCTGAGCCAATGAGCAGATCATAAGCTTCCAACACCTTCTCTTTACACCGACAACAAAAGCGATGACGCCGCAGATAGCTCTCCAAATCAGTCAGGAACTGATCCGAGTCAATATGAGAAAGATGCCGCTGCTGGTCTTCTGACAGCTTCAGCCACAGAGCTTCGAACGCTGCGGGACGCGGGCGACCTCGCACCCGATGCGAGTGCAGCTGACACTGTGCCCGGGACGTGCCAGCTTTGCTACTCGACTTGGTCGGCTTCACAAGTGCCTCGTTTGCCCATCGCTCTTGATGCGAAAAGAGTGCAAGCGACGTGTCGGGACTGTTCAAATATGATGCATGCAGTCGAAAGCACTTGTCATTGTCGAAACAGAGTCCCGATCGACTGACACTCTGAGGTACGCGATCAATGCTGTCTGCAAGCTTGTAAAAGAGCGCTTCGGCACTACTTCGACAGCCCGAACACGGCACAAGGTCCATTGCGGTCTGCACAAACTGATGTATGTCTCCCCTTAGCGCAGCCACGCGCTCCCACTCGGTCAGCAATAGCCACCGCTGTCAAAAAGGAGCAAAGCAGTCACACACACATAAGAGACATTTTGTCCGACGACGGAAAGGTGACCAGTATGTAGCCATTATGCTCGCCTACCTTGCGAAACTCGCGTGTCTCCGCAGCGCTGACCCGACAGCGATCGTCCCCGTTCGATCCGCTTGTACATCTGCTGTCATCAAGCGGTTTCGAGCCATTCGTGTCGTCTTGAAGTGTAGCCATCGTGTCAACACCCTTCTCGACTCTGTATCGACGCTAGAATAAGATGTGCCAGACAAGATGTGGTTAGAAGTTCGTCAGAAGCACAGACATGACACAGCCAACGCACCAATCGAGTAGCAAGGCGCTATTCGGTCGACCCGGCCGTACTTGTAGCTGGTAGTGGAGCTGCTGGCGCACGTCCCAACTCGGTGACTGTCGGTCTCGGATCACGTCCCTGCTCTGCCGAAGGCGGTCCGCTCGCGATGACCCCTCAGCTGGTGGTGAGGATATTAGCCAATCAGGTTGATGGCTGAGAAAAAGGCACCTAGCAGTGAACATGGCTACAAACAAGGTGGCTGGCAGGCAGGGAACGAAACAAACCGAACAGCTGTCTATGATTATTGTGGCTGTTTCTGGCGAGCTTGCAATAACGCGGCGATTTTACAGAGCCGGGCGACTTTGGCGTCCTGAGGGCGTTGACGCGGTTTCTTGGGAAAATTGGGCAGCTCGCGCCAGTTGAAAAAGTCGGGCACGTGCTGTAGCTCCGGCGCGTGCTTTATCGCAGACGACTGCTTTGTGATAAAGTAGGGCAACAGCGCCAAATGCTCAAACTCGGTGTCCATGTGCCACGTCAAGTTACGCTCGAGCATCACGTGCGACCGCCGCAGCACGCGAATGTCGCTGCTGCTCAGTAGCCGCTGCCGCGCCATTCGCTGCATCAGAGCTTCTGCCTTCTGTGTCAACCCCAACAGCAACAACGTCGCAGTGTAAACGTCCTGGACGGCAAAAAACAAATGGTGCACAGCACTAGCGCATGTATGCATGACCAACCTTTGCACCTTGAACTGCTCGTGCTTTGAATCCAATGACGGGGTCGTACAACTTCGGGCTCCATGGAGCAGGTGCTTCCGCCTTGTTGCTACTGTGCCGATTGTTCGTCCTTGTCGCTCGATTGTTCCTTCCAATCACTTTCCGGCAATTGATGGACCCACATAAGCACTCGGTTATCTCCTGTTTACTCACAGCATACTAACTTGTTAGACAGAACGAAGCATAAGGCATCTGGAATGGACGCAAAACGTACGGCTTTGCTAAAGGATTCAAACTTGTAATCGAACGTCAACTCCTCGCCAGCAACGATGTCCCGCAGAGCAAATATAGCACACCGTTCTTCGCCGTTGACGTCCCATTTTTCGACCCCGCAGTTCGGATCGCAGCTATGGTTGATAAAGCGCGCCCACCCGCCCATGCGAGTGGCATCAATGACTTCACCGCCACTCAATACCATCATGTACCGATGCTTCTCGTTATGGTAAAGCTGTCAGCAGTCAGGGACAGAAATCGGCAATGAGGTCGGTTTACGTCAAGCTAGACGAAAGGGTGTCTTCAGTGTCTAGCGGCACTCACCACGCGTCGCATGTAATACTCTTGCTCTGTCACGATCTCACCCATATACTCGCTCACGAACGAGCCGGCTTTCACGTCTTCCAGTAATTTCAGTCCAAGTCCTTTGTTGTTGCCACAATCCATCAGTTGCATCGAAGGCATGACACCACGCTGAATCCTCATGTTATCACACCGGTCGCCGTTCTTGCAGAATCCAGGTATACACTCGACAAGAGCCTGTCGTCACACACAACAAAATGCACTTGTCAGCACCAGCTCATCGACAGCTTCACCAAACGGCACGTTGTCTCTTCCATCAACACGCACAGCGCGATTCAAACAGTCATCCAGACACCCCATCTCCGTCTCATACTCAGGCACGTTGCATGCACATACTGACACCTCGTCCTGATAGCAGCATTCCGCAAGTATCAACAAAAGAAGGGCAAGAACATCATCATCATCATTTACACAGCGCCTTCGGTACCTCAGGCAGCGAACGCTCTTTCCGCTGCACGTAAACATTGTGCTTGATAATTTCGATCTCTGCAAGTGCCACTTCAATCGACCGCGATCCTGAGACGCGACTGGCACGAAATGTCTGGTCCTGATCAGTTTTGCTCCTACGCGTTCAGTCACATTAGCTCAGTACCGAGTCGCAAACAATGCAGCAAGTGGTTCGACGTCAATGTTCGGATAGACCGCTTCGATTGGCAGAGTAGTGATGAAGGAGTAGCAACAACTGGACGCGTTACTTGTACGTACAGCGCGACTGCCGACATGTCGCGGGGCTTGTGCCGCGCGGTCATGGCTTGTGTTGTATACATGTGGTGGTCCAATGGACGATGTCGTGTTTTGATTGGTGCATAAGAGGAATCACGCGAGCGCAATATGCACGAGTAAAAAGCGAGCAGCCCTTGAGAAGGTGTGGGACACGCATGAACGAAGCGTTTATTTTGTATGCAAAAAGAGACCGTGAACAGCGCGAATCGAACCACTCTTGTTGCGGTGTCACGTTTAGCACTTTATATAAAGGGGCGGTACGGTGCGACGCGTTTGAAAGGGCATCTATTTCGAAAGATGGTTTGCATCTTCAACGAAGTGAGGGGTGCACACAGCATCGGCGTTTGTTCAAATGAGCGGCATGTTGGGCAAGTCACGAATTGCAGGATGCCGAGATGCAGCGTGTGACACCCCTTTTGCTGGCTTCCATCGGGTATTCTTGTCGTGCGTGACAATATGTAGGACATGACCCTGCTTGCGACGGCCCTAAACCGATAGTAGAGGACGCGTTTTTTGCATTCAGTGCAGGGCGTGCATGACTGGACCACGTGAACGGCGGCACATGAGCATCATCCGGCCGACAAGTTCTTGTCCAATGAGCTTAGTCTGCTGGCAATCTGGCACGCACGACATCACATGCGCTAGTGAGGTGTCGTCTGCGTCAGTGTTTGGTGATAGCGGTCGTGAGCACTGTATGATCACGGTGACGAATCCGTTCTACTTTTGCGGTCTTCACGCGCGGCTGAGTCTCGAGACGACAAGACCATTTGGTGCGTGTACGGCACTTGCATGCGCGAGTGAAGGGCGTATTGTATCGGTGCGTGGTAGAGTTGTGGTGGTGACCACACGCGGGCGGAGTCTCTATCAATGTCGTGGCAAAACAGGCAGTCTAGCAGGTGTTGAGATGACATACTTCGACCTCGCACTATCATCTGGGTAGCCAGCCAGTCAACCGACAGCCCGGCAGTAGGACACATTCGACAAGAAGAGGGTGAGAGTGCGAGGACTTTCTTCAACGCACAATTCATTGGAACTCGCGTTAGAGTCATGCGCGTACCGATGCCAGTTCAGTTGGCGTGTTCGCGACACTCGGGTGAGCAAAGACTGCAAAAAACGGCCACATCTACAACTCGTCACTCTCTGTGCAAATCTACGTTCGATTCTGTACACATCGAGCAGTCGACCACTCGGTCAAAATGTAGCTAGATTTACACGCGCACGGCGGGCGAGTTCACGAACGAGCCCTCTTCCATATCGGGGTCGTCGTTGTTCTTCGCCTTCGCGCTCTCCATCAAGCCCTTGCGCTCCTTCGTCGCCTTCTCTTCTACCTCCGTCTGCAGGTCATCGTCCTCGACAGCGTGCTCCGCTTTCGCACCGGCAATGGTACGTTCCAAATCCATCTGGGCCTTGCGCTTCCGCATACAAAACACCACCAGCACGACAATCACGGCAATGAGCGCAACGGTGGCAGACCCAAAGATCGCCACCTCCTCTCCGTCCAACTCCTCGAGTCGCGTCAAGAAATCCGTCTGCACAGCTTCTCCGTCGGTGCTACCGTTGCTCGCATGAATGTGCTTCATGGGCTGCGTGAGGAACTCCTTCCGCTGTTTCGGGGTCATGCACTCGGGCACTTCCTCCTGGATGCGCAGCCAATTGACAATCTGACCTTCTTCGCGGTGGCCACACTCGGTCAACAACAGCCGCTTGCCTTCGGGGATAAAGTTCAGAATGAAACGACCCTGCGTCACGTCTTCGCCATTCTTCGTGCAGTTGATGTAGGCAACCACGTGGTAAGCGGAGAGCCCATTGTCAACCTCTTTTTGCTCCACGGCGTTCATCGTCATATTGAACGTATCACACACTTCCGTGTCATTGTACGCGATGAACGCGTACAACGAGGCCTTGATCACGAGCAGCGGCGGGTCTTCGTACACACTGATCCAACCGTCTTCGTTGTTCGGATCAATCTTGTCGATGTCCGCGCTTCCCTCCGACGAGTGACCCGATGAGCCGCCCTTCGACTTGCCCTTTGCCTTCTTGTCCTTGCCGCCGCTCTCGTCGTCGCCTTCCTCCTTTTCTTCCTTCTCCTCCTTTTCTTCCTTCTCTTCTTTCTTCTCTTCCTTCTCTTCCTTCTCTTCCTCCTTCTTTTCCTTCCCATCTCTTTCTTCCACCATTGCGTCAGCTACTTCGGTCTCGGTCGCCTTCTTCTTCGCCTTCTTCTTTACAGGCTTCTCCGGCTCTTCCTCCTGCGCAGACGCGGCCTTCTTCTTCTTCGTCTTCTCCGCCTCGGCCTCGGCTTCGACTATCGCCTCGGCCGCTTCCGCCTCTTCGACTTCCTCCTCAAGCGCCTCCAACTCGGCAAGCGTCGTGTCCACATCGTCCGCATCTTCCTCCTTCTTCTTCTTCTTCGTCTTCTTCTCGGCTGCCGGCTCCTCCGTAGCTGCTGCCGCTTTCTTCTTCTTCTTCTTCTTTGGCGCTTCGGTCGGCTCCTCTTCCTCGGACGCAACAGGAGACGCCGCGAGGACACGCACCACATGCGACGCGTGGACCGCCACCTCGTCAACAGCGGCCGCGTGCTGCTGGCCCGATACAGAGACCGCGCGCATCTCGTCGGCTTGCGACGACAACGACAGAGCGGCTGCGGCAACGAGCGCTACGCGGAACGCTCCTGGGAGACGCATCGTGGGCGGGCTGACAAGCTGTGCTGGTGCCTAAGACTGCCGGGACCTGCGAGGCGCGGGGGGAATTCGGGATTGACGACAACGTGGACGACACTCGACGCAGGATCGCGTGAGCCAATCAGCGCACGGTACCGGAGGAGGCCAGGTATTCGAAATCGCAGGCGCGAGTGGTGCATAGGGCTCGTGCAGATTGATCGTTTTGGGAGGGATATCGGACTCGACAGGCGGTTTGTTGCGTACGAGATGGATGACGTGGGTGCTACCGGTAAAGAGAGAGAGAGGGGCACAATGTGAGAGCGATTAGGGGTGTTCGATGGGCAAAGGGCTCCACTCCATCCGTCATGGAAGAGGCGCTTCTGTGTTGCAACGACGTTGATCAACGTCTGTCTGAAGTAGCAGCAACGGACGCTTTTTCCGATGCGCACTTGGGCCACATGGATCGGCCGGCACACACGCGTCTCTCGTCGACGAATTGCATAATCGAGTCGATCGAACGACACCTTTCCATTGAACGTATCGATCAAACTGCTTCTCATTAGTCTCTCGAGCGTTGTCGACGTGGCCACTGGTCACGGCGGCAAGTCGATCGCCATACACGATCGCGATGTCCGGTCTACAAGATGTCGCTCCCCCGCAACGACGCGACAGTCACCGCCAACATATGCGCCACGAGAAGACAGAAAACACGACAAGAACTTCCGCTTTGGTCGTGCGCGAAAGCGAGCGACGGAGCGTTTTGGCGCATCGACGAGCCGCTCGCGATCCCTCAGACCGTTACAATGCCGCGACGGTGGCACACCCAATCACGAGGCGCTGCGTGGCGAGAACCGCTCGTACTTAGTCGAGCCAGCTTGAAGCCACGGTGCAAATGAGCTGCTCGCGGCTGTAATTAGATTGGAAAAAAGTCGTGGGTCGAGCACGCGCACAACGATTCAGCGACTCGGCGACAGTCGCGGTTTGTTTAGCGGTCGCTTACGGCATCACAACAAGTGCATCTACTGCACAGGAACAGTGGACTGACGAGCGATGGAGTATCCGTTAGCGTGACTTGTGCGCATCGATTGGGACCATGTGGTGCCTCCGCAGCTTTTGATTGAGTTTGTGTGAAATCGTGTGAGCAGAAGGACGTCCATAGATCGAGCTTCCTTTCGCTTAGTAGCTTGTTTTTTTGTCTCGTAAACGCCGTGTGTCTGCTGATGCTACTGCCACTGCTGATTCCTGGCGGTTGACAAGGACACTGCGTCCGTCGACTGGTATTGCTGTTGCTACTACTACTTCAACAAAACTACTACTACTACTACTACTACAACAACGACTACTACTACTACTATTACTACTTACGCTACAACAACAACTACTACTACTACTACTTCCGCTACTACTTCCGCTACTACTTCCGATACTACTAAAGCTACTACTTCTGCAATTACTACTGCTACTACTACTACGCTACTACTACTACTGCTACTGCTACTGCTACTACTACTGCTACTACTACTGCTACTACTACTTCGGTTTCTACTACTACTACTACTTATGCTACTACTTCTGCAATTACTACTGCTGCTACTGTTACTACTACAACAACAATTACTACTGCTATTTCCGCTACTACAACAACTACTACTACTGCTATCTCCGCTACTACAACAACAACAACAACTACTACTACTACTGCTACTACTACTGCTCCCTGTGCCACTTATTCTACTCTTACTACAAGCATTACGAGCAAAGGCACGTCAGCTTGCCGCCGGCCAAGCGAGATGGATAGCCTCATTCTAGCGCAACGTTTGTCTGTTCGTCCGGCGCGATTCCTGTCGAAGAAAGCGTCATCTTTCATTCGTGGGTCCCACGGATCGCTTTGAACTCTTCGTGGACACAAACAGTCGTGCAAAAGGCAATAGCAATGGTTGCCGCTGTTCGATAGCCGTGGTGCTTGGTTCAAAGAGGAAGTCCATAGCGCTGGAGTGAAAGGATTCTGCCATCATGTGTTGCTTTGCGTTGTCTGTCTTGCCTCGCTATCGCTCACGTCCATGCAAGCATAATTCTGCAGCCAAAGTTGACCGAATCTGATCGCCCTACACGCTGTAAGTCGTTAGGGCTGCTTCATCTGCCCTTGCACGCCGCTTCAAGCATGTTCGTAGCTCGTGCGAAGCGACTACCCAACACTAGAGAAATGGATTTCTGACGCCGCGTCGGTACAGAATAGAAGACAATGGGGTACACGATGACTTGTGGGACGGTGTATACGTCAGACGTCGTGCAGGTGTAGACAACATCCGCGTGCACCTACAAAAGACAGAGGTCGTAGCTCTTGACGTCAATGTCCTGCTAAAAATGCTCGCTCCACTAAGTCGATATAAGACCTATTGGAGCCCTTCACCGCGCACCTGTTCGAGACAAACCCCTACTGCCCTCTGATTCGTCCAAACTCGGTGCGGGGCCGACCGGAAGCCAGTCAAAGCCTATCGTCATGACTGAGTTCGTGGAGATGATCCTTGCGCAGGTGCGTCCGTCCTCGTGCTTCTTGTCTCTATCCACTCGCGTCTCATCATCACCACGCAAGACACGCACTCATTGGCTCTCTCTTTGGCTGTCCATTGACACTGTGTTTGTATACTGCTGTGTGCGACTCTGTAGCTGATTGGCAACATCGCAACTGCGCTGATCCTCGTGCTCATTTACTTTAACTTTCTGCTGTTCGAGAACTATCTGCGACTCATTGTGTGGGCCATTCTATGCAGTCAAGCGCTGCGTCAAGCTAAAAACAACGTCATCTCGGTGCTACAGTATCTCAGTACTGACGCTGACATCAGTCGCTACGTACGACTGCGAAGAAAAAATATTGACGCACTGCATCGATCCACAGCACCACGACAAGGAGCTAACGTTTACGTGTGTGTGTTTGCTGTGATGCGTGTTTTGACTCGTTGCACGACGGTACCTGACTGCAGGGATTCCTCACATGTGTCTTCTCCAAGTCGGCCGAGATCTTCATCAGCCACCCACACGACAGATCACGTCGCACAGCAAAAGAGCTTTTCTTGAACTATGGGATCTTCCTGTTCTCGCTAATTGGCGCCGTCTCCATTTGGATGCGCATGTACTCGTGGGTGTCGTTCTTGAACGTCATCATTGGCTTCTCGATCGCCGCATTGAGTCTCATGAAGCTGCTGGATCGACGGATATTTTACTACCGTTATTTCTTTTCGGACGAAGTGCTCGTGTCAGTCGTGCTTATCCTCGGTTTTTTCATCACGGTACGCAGCTCGTTCGTTGTCGTAAGATGCAGTGACTCCTTGGAGTTTACTTACACCACACTTGTCGCCACAAATGGTGCATAGGGAACATTTGTCATTGTGTTTCTCGGAACAGAAAGTTACCTCGAAGGAAGCCGCGCAGCCACTAACTTATCGGAGTGGGTGCAGGACAATTTCATCAACGACGAGCGTGCGCGGCAAGTCTGGAGTGAGCAAGTGGAGAACAGTCGTGCGATGATTTCGCAAGCGATATGTGGTATTGAAGATAACTTCAACGACACCATGTGGTGGCCACCGCTCAAGAGTTTGGTCAAGACGTACTACGTGGACGCAAAAACCAGTGACGGAAACTCCACTTCTCACGCATCGCTCTTTTCTAGCCTACGACTTCCCGAAAACATGACGCTTGTGCAAGTTGCGACGTTCGCATACTCGAAGGTGGAATCAGTGAACTTGACATCGGTACAGCTGACGGACTGGACGTCGAAAGGACTAGAGGTTAGCAGCATCGCCGTTGGGTCGGTGGCACAGCTTGTATTTCTCGCGTTTACGCTGGTGATTGCGTTCGTAAGTCTCGGTGTCCGGTCTTTTTTCTTCATTTCGTCGCTGTTCTACCTACTGTGTACAAACTGGGATCCTATCGAGAGGTTCGTCCAGGATCTGCTCCCGACACAAGTCGACAAACGACCGGAAGTTGTCAGGTCACTGCGGAAGGTGATCGAGGGCGTCTTCTTTTTTGCCGCTGAAAATGGCGAGTATCCATGCGATTGTCACCATGATCTCGTTCACAATAGTGGTGTGTGGTGCATGCTTGATCTGTTCTGCGGTGTTTGTCGCTCTATGTACTCAACGCTCACTCCCTTTGTTTGTTGTCGTGGACAGAATGCTGACTTTATGTACCTTGCCACGACAGTCACGTTTTTCATCTCGATTGTGCCGATCATCTCCCCGTTCTTGGTTTGCGTTCCCTGGGTTATCTCAATCGGGCTCACGTCTTCGATCGTAAAAGCGCTTGCTCTTTTTGCAGTTCAGTACGTGGCTTTTACTGTCCTGGACGAAATGCTCTACGAAAAGAGCATTGTGGCAGTCAACTCTTATGTCTCAGCACTGAGTGTAGTGTTCGGCGTATACGTGTTTGGCTTTGAGGTGCGTCGAGTCGGGCAGTTGTTTTTTCTGTTTGATGTAGATGTGTCAGGCACTAAATTCGTTGTGTTGCTATCAAGGGTGTCATTTTCGGACCGTTGATCGTATGCGGAGTAACGTTTGCGTACGACGTGTCCAATCACGGTATCCAAGCTGCACAGGACGAAGGCGGAAAGTCCGAGGAAGTCAAACGCGACGATTCGTTGGGTGGCAGTGATGGGGAAGGATCACACAGTACGACGTCGTCTCTTGACAGTAGTGACCACGAGAAGCACAAGAAACTTGGCGACCATTTCGAGGAGGACGTCGACGGAGAGGTGAATACCAACATCTTTTCGAACGCAGTTTACCGTGTTATTTCAGGACCGCTGGTGGATCGTGTTCGTCGCCGTCTCTCGATCGACGTGGCTACAGAAGGGTCTGTATGCGTGACTTTGATCGTGGAGGGTCTGAAACGCGTTCGAAAAGTCCGTTTTGTCGTGAACAAGTCGTGGACACAACCAGCACTTCTCGATAACATTTGTCGAATGTTGCGCGTCCATAGCATCGAATGTAAGATCATGCTTCTGCCTCACACTGATGTCGGTATTGCAATGCATGTCTTACTCACTTGTGTGTTGCGATTCCTGTAGACATCGGCACAGAAGATGGCATCGAGGTGTTGTCTCCGCTTCATATTAAGGCCGATGAAGTACTGCATGTGAAAGTGCGATCAAGACGTCGACTGCACATGTATTCGGACTCTCACGCGGAATCGCGAGGACGGTTGTCATTTTCTGTCCAAACACCGTCAACGTCTCCCAACGGGATCAGGGCCAGTGCTCTTTCGCTATCGCAGTCGGGCTCTCGTGACGGATCTACGAAAAAGGTAAGTAGTGGAACGCTTTCTCGCGCAAAACTAAAGCGAATGGGATCCTCCAGTGCAACTGTCGGGAACACGCCTGGTGCCAAGGCAGTGCAGCGTCAGGTTCGTGTCCAACGCAGGGATGAAGGCGTGGGCATTCGATTGCAAGAGGGCACGAAGAGGAGAGGAAGCTACGATGAAACGGTTTTATCAACTCGAGGAGACATCGCTCCATGTGATTCGGCTCGAAGATCCACGAGCAGTTCACCATCTCGCGAAAATGCCGCCAACGAGTCATCTCTCAGTTCCCTGACCGCCCTGCGCTTGTCTTCGTCAACGTCGCCGTTGGCATATGGTGACGAGTTGTTGCTGTCGAATGATGACGTTTTCATGGCAGAAGTAGAAACGTCCTCACGCGGAAGGATGAATGACGCAGAAGTCTTTGCTGAGATAAGCTGCACAGCTGCTGTGTTGTCTCCCGCGACCACAAGTTCTGCAAAGGAAGGGAAGCCAAAGCTACACGTTGCAGACTTGACTGACTCCGGAGACTTTCCGACATTTTCTGCCTCGCACGATGCCAGTGGTCTGCATAGTGGCTTGGGCAACGACAACAGTGCCGATGCCGTGGACAAGGCAGCAATTGGTACAAGACCAAACGGGGGACCGCTGACGCAAGCTAAGCACAGAGACTTGCTGAAGGTGGTTCACCTGGGAGCAACGCTGATCGTGTCGCCGCTTGCAGTTGGCTCGAATGCGGCGCGCATTGGAAGTTATTCCTCGTCAGAAGATAATGGAAGTGAAGGCCAAGAGGAGGATAAGTAGGTAGTGCTTATTGTCTCATGCACTGCTCTCGTATTGTGCTTTGGTATGGCACTCTTGTCTTGTCGATGAGTTATATCATCAAGCCTGTAAGCCGCTGCTTCTTTTTCTTGAGAACGGCGATTTCGTCGTCGAACTCGCTCAGTATCTCCGGGTTATCTTCTGTCGCTCGTTCTCGATACAGTGCACGCAAACGGTCGCACACGACCGTCCAAGTTTCCATGTAGATGCGTTGCTTCTCGCGCATACTTCGCTCTTTATCCCACGCTGCTTGTTCAGCTTCCCGTCGTTCCCGCTGCCTTAGGAGTTCGAGTTCTCGACTAGCTATATCCGATCGCGCTGGCTTGACCTCTGCGTCCGCCACAACGCTCTCTATCAGGCCTTTCTTCCCAGATGCATAATCAGGTAAACATTCTGACCCCTCCGGACATCTTGTTGCACCAGCTTCCGAGCTCTGTTGCACCAAATGGGGATTGTCACGTGGCTCTGTGCTTGCCAAAACGACAAGGTTCTTTTCGCGATCCTCGGAAACGCTCCTTTCGGGTGTACAAGCGGAGGGAACATTCGATGTGCTCTCAGACCGTGGACGTTTTCCCAAATTCAAGCGGAGATCAATCTCACTCTGGATAGCACGAGCTTCCAGTACGTCTTCATGCTCTTTTGTCCCCACGTCAGTCTCGTGTCTGCAATTAACCAGTTGCCGGAACTTGCTCTTGATCCCTGTGAGATTCCGTGGCGCACGATTGTTTAATCCAGCATATCTCGTGCGATACAATTGCAGCACTTGTTCCCACGCAGTCGAGTCGGACGGCAAAACCTCCTTGACGCACGCCAGTAGCGCTCTCCTGTCTGACACCGAGTACCCTTCCGATCCAACAATCCGTCCACCACGGCGATGGTCAGCCGCAGAGCTCCTCTCTCCAGCCTCGCTACTCGTAGTGCTACCATCTTCCAGTCCGACCACTGCTGCATCAGCAACGTCCGTCTCCTGTCCACCGCCAGCACTAGTTTCTTTCCTCTCTCCGTTCTCCGTCGTCGTCACGACCACCACGCCCTTCTCCGTCCCCGCCTCGTCCCGCACTGTTGCACTCTGCTTTTCCTTGTCCATCTTGGCCTCAATCTCCACTTGCACAGCGCGCGCGACGCTGACTTCAGCCCGTGCCGTACCGTCCGAATCGGCCTTAAGCCAGTGTCGAAACTTGCGTTTCAACGACAGCCCGTCGCGACAAAGGCGATCGTGCGGAACGGCATAGTCCCGACGGTATGCGTCGGCCACGAGGTCCCACTCTTGTCGTGACACTGGTACCACTTGCCGAACAGCGGCAAGAATCGCTTGCGCATCGACCGCGGAGAAGCCCTCGGCCCCTCGCGCCCGACCTCCTCGTCGCTGGAGACACTGCCCAGCCACCAGCTTCGACTGGATCAGCTGCAACAGCGCCCCCGCTTCTTGTACGTCCCACCGCGTGCTCTCGCCCGGTCGACACGCACGGGCCAAGTGCTTGAACTTGGCTTTCAACGAATTGGCGTCGCGTCGGGCGCGGGCGCGTGGGATCGCGTGCGTCTCGCGGTACTCGTCGACCACTTGCTCCCAGTCGCTCGTCGTCGTGGGCACGACGCTCTTGACGCAGACGAGCAGCGCGCGGATGTCTTCTGTGTGGTACCCCTCGGCCCCTCGCACGCGTCCGCCGCGGCGCTGGAGAGGGCGATCGTCGCTCATTGAACGTGTTCAGGAGTCTAAATTTAGGACTTTGGGCACTGATTTGGGTCTCTGCGATGTGGAACGCGGGAGAAAAAGGGGGTTCGTGGGGGACCCAAACGGATGGCTCGTATTGGTGTGGTGCAGTGTACAGTCGGTCGCAGGAGGTCTTGCAGCAACGCAACGTGGTGGCGGCCGCGGCGACGGATGGTGCAGTGATTGAGGCAACTGACTTGTCGAAGTGTCAAGATGCGACGGACTTTCCAGGTACATTTCTCGTGATCCATGCAAAGGATTTGAGCATGTGCTGCCATCATGTTGTCTTACGAGATGCCTTTGTGCATTGAAATCGAGCGATCATATGATTCGCTAAATGGAGTAATCGTTGTTTCGAGCGACGACAATGGCACACAAAGTGTTGACTCAACGAAACCACTCTGCGCGATGATTCCACCCCCTGTGCACTCATTATTCTTAAGGTTTGGGAGTCCGAGAGTCGAAGCAGCCTCTGGTACAGTCCGAAATGAGTGCAATGGAGTCTGCTGATGCATGGGTTGGTGCAATCGAGGCCTGTGCCTCCTCCCAAGACGAATACCTTGGCTCCGTGCAGTATCGTTGTCTACACGATTTACTACATGCGGAGTAACCCGTCGACGTTGGCTGTTGCCCTTGGCATGCGGATAGCAGCAAGTGTTGTCGTCGTCCAAGATGTGTTAGTCTAACACAACGCAGCTCTCGTTGACGTGACATAGTCTAGCACCCATGGTAACGTCTGCTATCGTGCAGTAAGCCTTATACAGGCAAGCTTCTCACGCATGCAGAGTGTCGTGAATGTTGGAAATACGAGGAGAGAGGAAGATACTGTATCATTGACGCTGTCATTGTCTGTCCGATGTCGGTATTATCGCTGGCCGGGTAAGCACCACCTGTCTCTTTGCCCTCGAACATCACTCGGTTCCGCACAATTCATTACGACGCATACCGCGGCAGAGCCTTCACCACATTTGCTTCAACTCATTTTTTGCAGTCCATTGTAATGTTCCCGAATGACCGGTGTAGCTGCTTGGTGACCGTTGCAAACAGCTGTAGTGATGCTCTGGCTAGACTCTCTTTCGCGTTGTCAGACCTGAGGGTAGTCCGTAGGTTGGCCTGTTCTAGCTGATACCAAGTTCCGTGCGCAGACTCGCTTGCATGTGCATGCCCAATAACACACGGATGAGAGTCATTTACCGACCCACGTTAAAGCATCGCTAGCTTAGCAAGATACGCCATGTATAGGTACTTGGCACTATCCAAACGCGTCTGTATCAGACAATCCGTCGGCTCAATTCATCGATCTCCTATTCTTACCCAAACAAGATAGTCTCCACGTCGTCTTCGACACATCATACCTACCTGAACACGCGCCCACACCACATCCCCGTCCTCTTCCTCTTTTGTCACCCTTGATCACACTCTAGACATTCGACAAGGCATTACGTCGCATTTTCACAAGAAACGACTGACGCCAAGTCGTTCTCTGCGAGTCTTCCCCCTGATTTACGCGGATACTTGCGACGTCACTTGCCGCTTCAGCTTCTCTCACGCGTCACACTGCTGTTCGTATCGAATTGCAAAGGTATCGACAGAAGGAGGGTAGATGGAAAGACCTGGTGGATGTGGTAGTGTCGAATCCGGTAGAGGAGAGTGTGGCGTAGAAGAAAAACAGTGAAGGCATATGGGAATACTGCTTGAAGCCGAGACGATCGAGCTGCTCGTCACTGTCAAAGTTGATCGAGTCAGTGCTCGATGAGGGACTACCTGCTATGCGGGTGAGGAGGCGGGGAAAGGCTGCGTCTTACGGTAAAAAGCGGAAGCAGGTCCTGCAATGATCCACTACTTTTGTGAAAGTGACCTGAACCTGGTAGCGCCCAGTCGCAAAACCGACTCCATGTTCGTGACCGACAGCCACGCTTTCGAGTCAATGCCACCAACGAGGGTAAGAGAAATAGACAGCTATAAACATCAGCCCGTTTACAAGCGTCAACGTCGTTACCAGTGAGCGTTCCGGCAGCGGTGCCTTTGCACGTCATGCACGAAATGACAATGAGGCCGACGCTGAAGTTCCGTCCTGTCCAGCTTCTGTCGACCTCTCCATCAACGCCTGCGTTCTCAAGCGCCGTACTGTGTGCCCCTTCGGTGAGTCGTTGTATATATCGCTCGATAATATGCGCTGCGTAGTCACAACACTCAACTGTCTCGTACTTCATCAGCGGATCAGTAATTTTTGCGCCAGCTTCGTTCTCCACCACACTCATCCCACGACGAACCTGATCACGCCGCGACTCAAATAGCACTAAAAATGTCGTGTACTTAGTAAGCGTACCCAGCTCACATTCGGCATCCCAGCACTTGTGGTCATCACGACGCTCATGACCCAAGTTCTGACACCGTTGGAACCCACGGAATGCCGACGCACGCAGCTCGAGATCAGTTGGTCCTCATCCACATTCAGCAGCACGGGATGACACGCAAGTCTGACCATTCAAGCGAACTTCACATCCATGTTGTGCAAGCACTTACACAGGTACTGCTTATATGGTGTTGTTAGCAACCGTCAAGAAGACAGCATTCTCCAGTTCTGACGATGCACTGGATGTAACGGGGCAGCCCGTTACATGAAATTGTCACTTTAAGGAAAGTGACAATAAAGAATATAAAGATGGATATTCTTTAAACAATATCACCAAAGTGGTGATATTGAAGGGTCGACCAAAGGGTCTGTTCATTGGTTGATATCGTGATGATATCAACCCACCAATCGCCGCAAGACGCGCGCAATGAGTGGTGACGAGACGTCACCATACATGCAGTTATATTAGTATAATTGAATTAAGTCAAACGAAGAGACAGTAGTTTAAAGACTTAATTTATTAATATAACAGTTCTACTTTTACCCTACCTACGCTTCCTCGCTTGCCACGTGTACGTCCGTCGGGGCACCCAAATCCCTTGCGTTAAGTTACGCAAGGGTGTGCCCCGTTACACCTGGTAGCACTTCGTAGTCCTTCCAAGGACCACATCATCCAACATGAACATGTTGGATGAAGAAGACACCTTTCACGCCACGCGTGAAGGGTTTACCCATTTGAGTGACATCGAATGGGGTGCGGTAGAACGAATGAGTTCTACCGTAGGCGATCTCGTCGTTAGCGCCATGTTGGAGTCTCTAGACAGAGACCAACAACATGCCGCTATCGCCAAGTTCATTCAGAATGAACTTGCTCTCGAGAGGGAGAAAGTAGCCTTGCTTCACCAGCAAGGCTCTCAACAGGCCGAGCAGTTGAGAGAACTCGGTGCTCAACAGACGGAGCTGTTGAGACAGCAGCAATTCCATGCTGCTGTGGGCGGGACGGCGCATGCGCGTCGTCCCGAAGTCATGAAAGTTGACATCTCCAAGTACAGTGGAGTCCCGGAGGACTCCCTGTTACTATGGTTTGTCGAACTCGACAGAGCCCTAAGGGCTCGTCGCGTCGAAGATGAGCAAATGAAACTCACATTTGCTCAGACCCACTTGGCAGGGCGTGCCAAAACTTGGTCCCTGGGACTCGAGAGTAGCGACCCAAACGTGTTTAGGTCGCTAGATGACTTCAAGTCCCGGCTCAGACAAACGTTTGAGCCGCCACGTGCTGAGTTCAGGGCTCGTTCAGAGCTCCTGAAACTCAAGCAGGGTAAGCGTGATGTGCACGCTTACGCACAACATATACGACTCCTTGCGAGTAGTATAACTGCTAACCTAGTTCATGAACACACGTTGATTACGGTGTTCATGCAAGGGCTCGCAGAAGGGCCCGTCAGGAGCCATCTGTTCCGCCTTGAGCTGAATACGCTTGAAGAAGCGATATCAGCCGCGGAACAGGAAGACTTTAGCATGAGACAGGCTCATGCTAGCTCAAACTCTTACCGTCCACCGAGACGACAAGAGATCGGAGGTCCAGAACCAATGGACCTCTGCTATGTTGAGAGCGAGAGACCTCGCTCTACAAACAACAAGCGATTGCAGAGGTGCAATCGCTGTCAGAAGTTAGGGCACTACGCATACGAGTGTAGTGCTCCACGCCCAGTACCAAACAGTACTGAGCGAAATGGACGACCATTCGCCAGAAAGGGCAATGGGCGTGGGTCCAGCGCTGTTGCGAAGCTCGCAACAGCGAGACGGACCATAAAAAAATGGTCGGGGTCAGTAGGGGCGGAGCGCCCTACTGATCCAGCAACCTCAAGAGAATTTGCAAATCTCTTGACGAAAGTTGCTCCAGATACACAATCATTGTGTGTCTCTGCACCTGGTGATGACGTTTCGCTCATCACCTTGAAGTTGGAAGCGACAAATGATTTGTCGCTTCGTGCCCTAGTAGACTGTGGGGCGTCGAACAACTTTGTTCGTCGCCAGTCACTAGAGGGTCGTAGGCTCAAGTTCGTTGAGCGCGACATTCCCCTCACAAGGATGACGGTGCGCCTTGCAACAGGCGCGTCGATAACCGTAGAGAAACGTGTAGTAGGAATCCACTACATGTTAGAGGGCGAACAGTACGATGATGACTTCATCGTACTAGATCTGGATGACAAATTCGATGTCATCCTGGGATTACCTTGGCTCAGAAAGTACGAGCCAAGGGTGAGCTGGCAGCATCGATCCGTGAAGATGCCTGCCGCTTGTTCATCAGATGGCCATCTGATGAACATCTTGGAGCGTCCACAAGCGTGTGGATGTTCTGCGAGTGAGTGCGATGGCCTCACTTGCGGTACGGTCGTTAGCACGACTGCACAAGATCACAGTGTAGTTGATCACTACACTGTGGAGCAAGCTCCCGGCGGCTGTACAGAAGTACAGGCTGCGACGAAGGTCCACCACTCGAATAAGTCGAGTGGACCGGGACATGGATGCATGCCTAGCGGGCAGCATCTTAGAAGAAAGAAACCTGTTGCCCCCAAGGGGCAACATGAAAATCCTAGGTCGACTGGAGAGTCGACCGTAGAGGATC